CGCTGGGGATAGGGCTGTGCACTCAAGGAGGGGTCCCGGCCTTCACTTGCTGCTGTGCCCTACAGGCAGCCCGGCCAGGACTCTGCCATGCTGGTGTGCGAGGCGTGTGACAAGGGCTACCACAGCTCCTGCACGGAGCCAGCCACCCAGGGCCTCCCCACCGGCCCCTGGAAGTGCAAGGTATGTCCTGCTCTCACTTGGGGTGCGCTGTGCCTGCCCCCCCTGCACCCCTGACACATCTCTGCTTCCCCTCAGAACTGCTGGGTCTGCTCAGACTGTGGCCAGCACCCCAGCTCCAGCTGCCAGTGGTCCCCGGGCTCGGAGGTGTGTGGGGACTGCCAGCAGCGCCGTGCCACGGCCGATGTCCCCACGGCGCCAGAACCTTCACCACAGCCTGACCCACCTGCCCAGATGTGAGTGGGGATGGGGGTGCTGCTTTGGAGGGGGCTCAGACCCTCTGTGGGTGGGGGACAGGGTGGCCTGAGTGCTGTCCCCTCACCCAGGTCCCCCCATCCCAGGTCAGAGTCCCCTGTCCCCAGCGACTCGATGGATGCGCCCATGCCCCCGCCTGAGCTGGAGCCTGTGGGGTGTGATGAGGAGACACAGCCCCTCGTGGACCCCAAGGAGACACCCCCAGACCCCCAAGAGGCACCCCCAGACCCCAAGGAGGCTCCCCCAGGCAATGCTGAGTGTCCTCCTGGCGAGCTGGCCTCTGTGGAGGTGCCCCCCAGTGAAGAACCCCCCGAAGAACTTCCCTCAGATGAGCTGCCCCTCGATCAGCCGCCCCCCGACACGCAGCCCTCTGACATTCAGCCTCCTGACGTGCAGCCCCCTGAGGAGCCCCTTCCTCTCCTGCTGCCCCCCGAGGAGCCCCCCTGTGAGGAGCTGCCCCTTGAGACCCCATCCCTTGCTGAGCTGCCCCCTGACAGACCCTCCCTCGAGGAGTTGCCCCCCAGTGAACCCCCCCACAACGAGCTGCCCCTCGATGTCCCTCTCCTTGCTGAGCTGCCCCCTGAGAAACCAGCGTTTGAAAAGTCGCCCCCCCATGAGCTGCCCCCCCCTGAAGTACTGCCCGTTGACAAATCACCCCCTGACGAGCTGCCCCCCAACGAGTCACCCCCCAAACCTCCTCCCCTTGAAGAGCCACCCCTCAGTGAGCCATCCCTGGATGAGCTGCCCCTCAACAAGCCACCCCCTGAGGAGCTGCCCCCCGAGGAGCTGCCCCCCAGTGAACCTCCCCCCATCGAGCTGCTCCCCAAGGACCCCCTTCCTGAAGCGCTGCCCCCCGAGAAGCTGAGCCCTGAAGAGCCCCCCCTTGTTGAGTTGGCCCCTGAAGAGCCGGTCCCCAGCGAGCTGCCCCCCGAGGAGGACCTGAAACCACCAGGTAATCTGGGCACTCCTCACTGTCCTCTTTTCCCTCCTCTGGATGTTTTTTGTGGCTTCTCCCAGCCCTGGCTTTGCCTGATTCCTCTATTCCTTCTCTTTTCATATGTTGGTGCCCTGTTTGGGGTACTTTGGGACCTGTCAATGCCAGGCTGGGTGGCACAGGGGGGATGGAGGGGACCCCCACACTCCCTCACCTCATCCTTGTCCCCCAGGTCTCCTCCCCGAGGTGACAGTGGCAGAGGAAGCGCCAGCCCTGGCTCCAGAGGTGCTCCCTGAGGAGGAGATGGAGCTGGAGCCAGAGCCCTCGCTGCCCCCTGAGATGACACCCCCACCCTCAGCTCCCCCAGGTGGGTCTGGGGAAACACCAGGGTTGGGACTGGGGAGGTGGGTGTCTCTGGGGGGCTGTGATATCTCACACTTCTCCCCTCTCTACCCCCAGCTCTCCGTGCCATCTCACCTGCACGGACCCCAGCGCCCTCCCCTGATGCCAAGGAGGACGAGGTGCTCGAGCCCCCCAC